AGAGTAGTGGAATGTTTTAGAAATATTCATGGTGGCTACACTTTTGGAGTGATTAATGAAGAATGTAGAACTATATTAGATTATGCTGTAGCGTATGTTTTTGTTATTGCTAATACTTTATTTAAGAAAAGAGATGATCATATTATTACTTATAAGAATATTTTTAATAAAACACAAATCGATTATTTTCTTATGAAAAAAAAAGATCGTTAAGAGTGTAAAGATTATAAGGTCATTCCAAGTGAAAGTTTAAGTACTCAACATCGATTATTTATTCTAGACTTTAAGATGATGAATTGTAAGATAAAAATATAATAAAAATTATCATAGAATTAGATGAGGCACCTAGAAGACGTAATTAAAATTATTTTTATGAGTCAATTTCAAGATTAAAAGATTTGAGATATTCATAAAGAAACAAATTCTTCGTGGATAAAATAGCAAACACTATTAAATAAGTTGCAAAAGATGTACTTGGAGAGTCAAGAGGAAAATTTTTATAAATAAAAATATTTGGTGATGAAATAATAATGTGCATGAAAAGTAAAATATAAGAAGTTGTGTTATAGAAGTTGGTTTAAATTAATGTAAGATCGCTCGTAGGGATTCTAAGAGAACAAAGTGTGATGCTAAAAATTCTGCTTTTAGTGATCTTTATAATAGATTGGATGCTAAAGAGAGTGAAAATTATATGTATAAATTAACTAAACAAAGAGAAAAAAAATAAAAATTTAATTCAAGTTAAGTGTATTGAAGATGAAAATTAAAAAAATGCTTTTCTTAGAGGAAGATATTCAACATAAATGGGTGCATTATTTTGATAAACTTCTCAATTATTTTAGAAATATGATCGACCTTAGTGATCTTAATATCGTTAATAATAATAAAATGTTTTATTTTTACCGTCACATTAGTAAAAAAAATAGTTGAGGCTTTAAAAAAAATCAATGCTTAAAAATTAGTAGGACCTGAAGATATCTCAATTGAAGTGTAGAAATATTTAGGTGATTTGAGAGTTTCTTGGCTTACTAAATTCTTTAATTTTATTTTCAAAACAAAAAATGTGTCAGAAGAGTGGAGGAAGAGTATTTTGGTCCCCATTTTAAAGAATAAAGGGGATGGACAAGAATGTGCAAATGACAAGAATGTGCAAATTAGCAAATTATAGAAGAATTAAATTGATGTGTCATACTTTAAAATTATGGGCGAGGGAACATAGGTTAAGGCGTGATACAAAGATTTTTCATAATCAGTTTAGATTAATGTCGAGTGCGATTCTACCATGGAAGCTATACATTTATTTAGTAGTTTGATAAAGAAGCACATAGAGAATAAGGTTTTTATTGATTTAGAAAAAGCTTAAAATAAGGTTCCATGGGGAGTTCTCGAGAAGAAATGTGTTGATACGACTTATATTTTTGTTATTAAAGATATGTATACTACAGTTGTTATTTGTGTTCGAATAGAAGGAGGATTGACCAAGTATTTTTCTATTTCAGTTGGATTACATCAGGGATTGGCTTTAAGCCCATATATTTTTGCTTTATGGATGCTCTGACTGAATACATACAGGAAGATGTACGTTGGCGTATGCTTTTCATTGATCATATCTTTCTTATAGATAAGACTGGAGAAAGAGTTCAGGAAAAACTTGAATTATGGAGGTCGACATTGGAGTCTAGATGCCTTTGTTTGAGTAGATCTAAAACTGAATACATGGAATGTAATTTTATTAGTAGTAGACTGAGTTGTTGATATCTCAGGTCTATCGTTCAAAGTGATGGTGATATAGATGGAGATGTTATTAGTAGAATCCTAGTTAGTTGGTTGAAGTGGAGAAATGCGTCGGACCTATTGTGTGATAGATAAGTACCGCTTAGACTGAAAGGAAAATTTTATAAGATGTTGGTGAGACCTGCTATGCTCTATGACGCAAAATGTCGGCCTTTGAAAGAGAGGCATAAAACAAAGTTAAGTGTTGTTGAGATGAGAATGCTTAGGTGGATGATTGTCTTGATACTTAGAGACAAAATAAGAATTGGATACATCTGTGATAGGGCTGGTGTAAATCCAGTGAAGAACAAGATTCGAGAGAGTCATCTTAGATGGTATGGTACATTAAATGTCGACCATCTAATGATCTTGTTAGGAGAGTAGATGTTTTAGATTTGACTTATGTTAATAAAGGCAGAGGTTGACGTCAAATGCTTTAGGCATATTGTATAAAAAATGATTTTAATCTATTAGAATTAAATGAATATTTGACACTCAATAGGATGCAATGGAGAAAAAGGATTTATGTAGCCAACCCTAATTAGTGGGATAAAAGCTTGTTGTTGTTGTTGAACTATATATGAACTAGAATTGAGAATCAGTTTGAACTAGATTGATGCATAAATTTCAATCCCAGGAAATTTTTTGTAATAAGGAAGAGGTATGAAAATTCCTTACATGTGCATAAAACAATTGTATATATTAGTAATACCATTTAACCATAGTATTCCATGACAACTTAACACAGACAATCATATAGTACATATATCAAATTTAGAATCCATGTCAACTTAACACAGGCAATCACATAGTACATATATCAAATTTAGAAAGTCAGCCAGAAAGCGTTCACCAAAGTATTTTAAAAGTATGAAGATTTGAAGAAGATGTAGAAGAGTGATGATCGATCATTGATTCCATGTAATGAAAAATGAAGATAAGAATAGAAAGTACAATATGTATGTCAAAGTTTTGAGAAAAATAAGCTGAATACTTAATAGGCTCGATGTCTTTTCCCTTTGCTTTCATTCCATTAAATAATAATCTTACAATCTATTTTAGGTACAAAATAAAGTGCAAAATCTATTTTAGATAATTTAATAATATATATTCATAATCTAAATATTCAGCTAAAAGAGAAATAAATCATAATAAAGACATTAGAAATAATTTAAATAAGGAGGCTCTTAATTATAAAAAACTCCAAATTTAGCTACCTAATTTCCGGCTTTCCCGATTGACATACCCCTTAAATTGATGCTGACTGATTAAGAAACATCAATTTGCCAATAAGAAACTGATAACATTGTCAGGACAAAAAATCCTGAAGCAGTGAGTGCCGAAGCCTGAGAGAGCCGAAGCCCGAGAGTGCCGATGTTCTAGAGTGCCGAAACCCGAGAGTGCCGAAGTCCAAGAGTGCCGAAACCTAAGATCTATAGTTTGCCGAAACCTAAGATCTATAGTTTGCCGAAACCGAAGCCATCGATCTAAGAAGGTGTGCCGAAGCCTAAGCTTAAGCGGACGAAACGAAGCGTAAGAAGCAATTGAAGATGCCACAGAAGCAGTGATGGCTGGCAAAGGAGATCTAAAAAAATAATGAGACGATGAGCAGACGAGCGAGAATCAAGACAAAGAAATAACTCCTCCCTTCCCGTCCTACAAGAAGGCCGGCGGGAAGAGATTCTTGACAGTACTCCAACAATTATCGGTGGTTAGGGCAAAAATTTGGCTCTGATACCATGTGAAAGTTTTGAGAAAAATAGGCTCGATGCCTTTTCTCTTTGCTTTCATTCCATTAAATAATAATCTTACAATCTATTTTAAGTACAAAATAAAGTGCATAATTTAAGTTAGGTAACTTAATAATATATATTCATAATCTAAATATTCAACTAAAAGAGAAATAAATCATAATAAAAACATTGGAAATAATTTAAATAAGGAAGCTCCTAATTATAAAGAACTCCAAATTTAGCTGATTGATTTCCGTCCTTCCTGATTGACAATGTATAGTAGCAAATTAAACAAGAAATAGAAAGTTTAAAATAAACACATCGATTCCAACATTGTGATGTACTCTGTAAATTGTAATTGATTAGTATAATCACATGACACGGGTAACCAATTAAGGAACGTCAAGGGCATATTCAACACAAGATTAAGGAGATTGCAATGCTTAGAAGAACAATTATTTAGGATGCTAGTATATAAGAACTTGAATCAATAATCAGTTTGATGCAGACTTGATAGATAAATATTAATCTTTTGAAGTTTTTAGATATAAAGATAAGAGGCATCACAATTATTTGCAGATGCATAAAATAAATTTTAATATGATTACCATTAAGCAGTTATATTCCATGATTGAATAACATTAGCAACCATGTAATACAAATTACAATTTAAGAAAGCAGGCAAGAAAAATGTGATTCCATGCAATGATAAATAAAGATCGGAATAGAATTATAGATTGCACCATCTGTTAGAAAGAAACTAAAATAAGATGACGAGTTTAAAACAAATGCTTTCATGATTTTTTCAACTTTGTGATATGTTTAATGAACTATAATGGAATATCATAATCACATAATCCAGATAGCTAATTAATGAAATGGGCAAGAAAACTGTGCATGCAAATATTTAAATAATACCAGAAAAGAAGGTACAAAAGAATAAGTAAAATGGTGATTACACACACACAAAAAAAATGATTTGGACCGTTTATATGAAAAGCATGAAACAAGAAAGAAGAGATTTAAATCAAATCTATTCTTGATCTTTTCAATTATTGTCATGTTTGCTATAAGTCAAATGTATACCAATATATAAACAAACTATTTTTTAAACCTGATAAAAAAATGTTACAGGAAAATCAACCTGAGTTTCAGAATGTTTATGTTGACGATGCAAGAAATAACTTCATTCAAATTAATTTTTTTTAGAGATGCATACTTGCAATGCACCCGAAACATTGATATTTATAAATCAAGCACCCAGGTGAGCATTTATGCATGCCAGGATCAAACCATTGAGAATTTGATAAATATGGGTTGAGGTTTTATCATGAATTTTGATATTTGGGTGAGAATTTGAAAAATGGATGAAAGAAGATGCTTCATTTGTAAATAACAATGTTTCCTGTGCTCCGTATGTAATTGCAACACCCCCACCCCCCTCCCTCACCCCCTTTTTATGCACATGCTATAGTTTTGCCAGTTCTTGTACAGGTTAGAGTAGATATGGGTCAACCTATATTATTTGCTTCGGATGTTCCTACAAAACTTGCAGCAAACCATAATGGAGCAGTTGTCAGGTCTGAAATTCTTGTGGATGGCATAGGATGGAATGTGACATGCGTCAGCATGGGGAATCCTCATTGTGTTACTTTCAGCACAAAACATGGTGAGGTAATATTTTTGTAAGACATTATTACTATTTTTTGGGGAAATTTACATACGTAGCACACAATTCTTATGTATTTACTTATGTCACACCTAAATTTTCATATTTACATACATATCATTTTGGTGCTTTAAACCTACGCATGAAAAGATGCATTTCACTCTTAAAAAGTGGTAAGTACTATTTTTGATGTGCTATTAAAGGTTTGAGTGTGTAAATATGAAAGTTTAGGTGTGAGATGTAAATTGCTAAGTTGTGTGCTATGTATGTAAATGCCCCCACTTTTATTTAATTGATAGCCGTCTTACTTTTATGCATTCTGGTTCAAATTGCTCTAATCGGTATATAATGCTTCGGCATTTTTCTCCTATAAATGATGAATCTAGTTATTTTCAGTGTTGCCAATGCAAATAGCACAACCCATAGAGGAAGGGTTATTCTACTTTGAAGCTCAATTACAAGCAGAGCATATCCAACTACACATAGCATTTCTAAACATTAAACTTGAGACAAAATTGCATTGTACTATAATATTCCACAATTTTCATAGCATAATCAAATCATCAAAATATGTGTGAGATACAAAAAACTAATATTAGTAGTGAAAAGCGTTTCTAACTTCTCTGTACAGATAACGGATAGTCAAAATAGTGAAATTTTAAAGAGTTTGATCTGTACCTTCAAAAATATACTAGTAATTGAAACAAATGTTAATTTTGAAATACATGCGTGCTTAACCTATTTTATGGAAAATTTGTTAAAGTTAAATATCATAAATAAATGCTATTAGTACAACTGTAATGTGGATAATGAGCAGAGAGGAGAGACTCATTTTTTAAATTAGAGGAAATTCATCCTCATATTCCTCACTGCATAGTTTTCATTTGTTGCATTAAGATGCTCTGCAGAATCTCATGCCAAATAAAAAGAGATTAAATAAATGGAATTAAGGCTCTGGCAAATATATTATTTTGATAACTATATTTTGTTTTTTCTCTAGCAAGCATGTAAAGAGTCAATCAGTATTCATTAGGCTGGACTTACTAACAATTTACGGTTTTTATGAGGTTGACAAATTGCCATGCTGAATAATAGTTCTCAGTTCTCTTCTTCAAGTTTTGATTTTGAAGTTAGGATTGAGTGCCGGGAACAAACCGATGAATTCTTGTGTGCACATCTATATTGAGTCCCATAAGTTGAAGTGGTGCTAAAAGTGACAATAATTGGAGATTGGTTGAGTATTTTTTTCACATATTTGCGTAGCATTTATTAAATCATAAAAGAGCTTCTAATAGGAAGCATAAAAATAAGAGAGTTATAATTACAATAGTCTACAGGTTGATGCGTAGGCAGAATAATAATTATAATAATCCGTAGGTTTATGAGTAGGGAGTTATAAATTTACGAATCAATGAGGTGGTGACGAACGAGAAAGACAGAAGGCAAAAGTCTCTGTGAGTGCGTCTCAACCCGTGAAAGTTATACACGTTTCACTCTTCCACTCATACGAATTAAGGGATGTCATCCATTTCAAGTTTACCTGATCATTTTAGAAAGATTATCCCTCATGTGAGAATGTCATTAAGTTGTTCAACTGTGGATATGGCATAATACTGATTAGACCATAATTAAGTTTATCCTTTTTAAAGTTTTTATTTAATATGTTTTATACGATAGAAGATAAGAGAAAATGAAGAGTGCCATAATGAAGGCCGCAGGATTTTAGTAATGCAGCAATGAAGCTTGTAGTAATGGGAATATAGAGAAGAGAAAATGCTTTGGGCACTCTATTACCATGTTAAGAATTGGAGAGAAATCGTTAGAGTATTTCATTTTAGCGCATGTGTAATTTTTATGCAATAGAGCTTTCAATAGAAAATATACGAAGTCAAGAAACTGTATTTAGAAGAGTTTACGGATTGATGAATAGGAAGAATAATAATTATAAAATAAATACAATCATCCATGGATTGTTGAATTGGTAACAAGGATCTTAAAGATTAATGCAGTGGCAGCGAAAAAAGGAAGGAAACGTGGAAGTTTTTTGTGAGTGTTCATCCCAGTTAGTAGTAATTGTCTAGATGCTTCATGAAAAGAACAAATACTTTTTAGTATTACCAACTCATGATCATATTTTATGGGTAATTATAAAACCGAAAATCTAAGTACGACACACGATAAAAGTTTAGTGCCCTTCTTTCCTTCTTGTAGGCTAAGCTAATTCTAACATAAGAAAGAATGTAAACGAAGCTAATTTCTCTTGGCGGATAGCAACATTAAAAGTATTTATTGTAATCACTTTTATCATTTATATATTTTGAAGGCTCTTTACTATTTTTCTTTTTTCTAATCTTAACAGTATCTAGAAGAAGAAGAAGAACGACAAGCCTTTATCCCACTAAGTGGTGTGGGCTCCATTAATCCTTTTTCTCCATCGTCTTATTTAGTGTCATATTTTCATTTAATTATAATAAACTAAGATCATTTTTTTATACAACATGCCCCGATCTAAATCTTAGCACTATCTATTGGAATAAATCTCTCTTTCTTATTTGTTGAGGATACGCCAAGCTTTAGGTAATGATTTCCACTCTGGTCAAAAAGCTTGATATGAGCAACGAAGTGGCCATCTGTTTAGGCAATTCAGCTCTAACCACTCAAAATTCACTAGTCAGAAAGTGTGGAAATATGGAGCACAAATGCTATAGGGTTGCTTTTGGACTATAAGCAAGTTCAATAATTATAATTTTTTTCTTTAATAAGGTGATTAAGATATTAGGTGAAGGGACCTAAAAGTTTTGACAGTGTCTAAGAGTTGTATTAGCTTTTATACATGGTTCAAGTGATGCACTAGTGTTGAGTTGGCGTGAACAAAGTGAGGCTATTTATTAATCAAGATTCTTAATTTTGGAGTAAAGAACACAAATTCTACTAGTAAGAGATCTAGTGAAAAATACAAGGAGTACTAGGATTCTGCCTTAAATCCCTCCTCTTTAGCTCTCTAACTCCATTGTTTCTCTTTTTCTACCCCTTGATTTTTGAAGGCTAAGCACAATCTCTTTAAAATTATAATTAAGAGGCTCAGACTAAAGTGTATAACCAATACTCCTGAAACATTTATCTATACTGATAGTGGATGGCAATTACAATAGATAGTAGTTTAATGCTGGAATTTATGATTCAAATTGAGGAAGTTATGAGGAGGTGACCTTGAAGTCACTAAACTCTTAAGCATTTATGATGCTGGATTTAATCCGAAAGCAAGTAAATACAATTATTGTTACTGGAAATTAGAAATAAACACAACAAGGGTTCATAAAATTGGAAATAAAATGACACGAATACAAACGAGACTTTATTGTGAGGGTGAAGGCGATGGATTTTGGTTGGAGCACTGGTGTGGGGATGGTTTGGAGAGCTATGAAAGTAATTAAATGAAGGGTAGATAGGAGGCGGTAGCAGGACAGGTGCTGGCATGTTGTGGCGACAACAGGGAAGATGCTTAAGGGTAGTCTGTGGCGGGGAAGGCGCAAGAAGGTAGGGGGCAGCAACAGAGAAGAGTAGGCAGGTAGGGCGACAATAGTAATGGTGCTGGGGCGGGCTGAGCGACAACATAAATGTGCAGCGGGAGCCGAGCAACAAGAGGAAGGTGCATGGGGGAGCCAAGCGACAATAGGAAGGTGTAGGGGGAGCCAAGCGACAATAGGAAGGTGCTGGGGACCTGTGCGACAACAAGGAAGATGTTGGATGACGCAAGATTGACGAGATAACCCCCACCTCGGAGCAGGATAAAACCAAAGCACCACTCGTCCTCAGATACAATGTTAACAAAGGAAGGGATGCCCGACGACAGGAGCTTTGAAATCAGGAAACACAAAGTTGAACCCGAAAACACTCAAACAACCTATAAATAGAGCTTAAGGAAATAGAGAAGTGGGCCCTTGAAAACACATGAGTGGTCCAGTAGGAGGTTCGATCAAAGTCTTTGCTGAAATAGTTGGACAGTTTGGCAGGTTGAGCTCCGCGTCAGTCTCCCTTGGTTGGGGAGCTTCCACTTCATCCATCGAAGCTTCTGGGTCTTCGTAGTATGGTGTCAAGTCCGTTACATTGACTGTAGTCGAAAGGTTATAGTCCTCTTGCAGGTCGATCTTGTAAACATTATATCTTTTAAAGTTTTCTGAAAGAACCATCTGTTCTGGGCTTGAGTTTGTTGAATGCTCCTGCTGGTAATCTCTCTTCATTCAGCTGGATCCACACTATATCTCCCTCCTTAAAGCTAACCTTTTTTCTTGTTTTGTTTGTCTGTACTTTGTATTTGTGATTCTACTTAGTGATCTCTTTTTCGACTTCCTCGTGGAGTTTCTGAATCTGGTGCACTTGTTCCTGAGCATCCTCACTAATCTCTGATGTCGGTAGGAGCGGTACCAATTTGAGCTGGGTGAGCGGGTCTCACTCTTACACGATCTTAAATGAGTTCGGTTTGTAGTCTGAAAAGCTTCTGGGTCTTCGTAGTATGGTGTCAAGTCCATTACATTGACTGTAGTCGAAAGGTTATAGTCCTCTTGCAGGTCGATCTTGTAAGCATTATATCTTTTAAAGTTTTCTGAAAGAACCATCTGTTATGGGCTTGAGTTTGTTGAATGCTCCTGCTGGTAATCTCTCTTCATTCAGCTGGATCCACACTATATCTCCCTCCTTAAAGCTAACCTTTTTTCTTGTTTTGTTTGTCTGTATTTTGTATTTGTGATTCTATTTAGTGATCTCTTTTCCGACTGCCTCATGTAGTTTCTGAATCTCGTGCACTTGTTCGTGAGCATCCTCACTAATCTCTGATGTCGGTAGGAGCGGTACCAATTTGAGCTGGGTGAGCGGGTTTCACTCTTACACGATCTTAAATTAGTTCGACTTGTAGTCTGACTCATGGATCTGTTGTACGTGAACTCAGCTTGAGCAAGAATCAAATCCCACTGCCTGATACTTTTCCTCACAAATCATCTGAGCAGAT